ATTTTATTATTTAACATTATTTTGAGAAAAAATTCCTAACTTTATTGTAATCGTATTTTATTGTAATTTTATTTGTTATTTGGGCACCTATAAAATGGCTATGCGCACCAATTTTTTGACAAAGCTGGTCAATTATGTCCCTAGCAATTCAATCACATGCATATGTAAATTCTAAGGGAAAATTATGATTACTCCCTTGTGATTTGATCATAATTATTAATTCAACCTTATATTTTAAAAAGTCAACTATTTACCTCCTAAGTTTGGATTACTGTTGTAATATCCTCCTTCTGTTAACATTCTCGTCAAAAACCAACGGTGCAACTATAAGCACCGTTAAATAGCCATTTCTTTGACTAAAATATCCCTGTCTAGGGATTATTTGTTAAATTCCCTCATCTACGTATCTTTCTTCAAATACACGGCTGAGTCAAATATAAGGTTTAGACAACTCTTGCCGCTCCTACATTTCCTGCATGTCGCTTCCTCTTCTTTTGCTAAATATCTAGAAACCTCAATTCTTTGCTCCCTATGGAAGTTCTCGCAAGTCTTGAAGACTAGCAACTGACTCTAAAATGTGTTTGTGCCCTAGAAAATTTCAAAACATTTGGGAGTGAGTAACTAGACACGACGTGATCAATGAAAGTTCAGTGGCATGGGGCTGAGGCCACTGTAGTCAGTATTACTTGCCTCGTAAGGAGATAGTAATGAGAGATGCGGTTCCCTGTGATATATGATAAAACACCTGTCTGTTGGGAGACAAGTGAGTGGTCTTGGATAGGGTTCAACATGCACTGTTGGACAAGATGCAGTGACTTCTACCCGGGATCTGATTAAATCAGTCCTGAACCTATTTTGAAATTGTCCAGAGTATTTGAGTGGCTAGGAGTAAATGTTCAATGGATAATAGGCAGTTGAGGTATCAGACTCATCATTGATTATTGTTTTTCTTCTCACTTGAGCCTTCTGCTTCCTAATGCTCATAATTTTCACTCACTCACTTGCTCGCTCACTCACTTACGCTCGGCTTTGTCCCTTGGGTAGGCTTAGTTGGGTTTACTAAGCCATAGGGACATGTTCTCTCATTTTCTCTCTGTACTCCCCCTAAACTGGAGCACTCGGTATGCTTTGTCATTGTTAGGCACCGGAGAGGATAACATTGAAAAGTCCCCCTAAAATGCTGCATCCTTTGAAAGATTCCTTGCTTTGTCGGTGAATGGCGCCAGGAGGAATTAACTGAAACTCCCCCTCAGAATGTGCAAGGTTTGATTGCTCACATCTTGTCATCCCCGCCATGTGTGTGGAGCAATCTGAACAAGTAACACACATGACGGTTTTCCTGAGCTCACCATGTAGAATTTCAGCATATTGATGATCACATAATGTTGATGAGTCAGGGGAGGCTTCAGTGGTTGATTGTTGATTGTAGTAGAATGACCGTTGACGCGAGGTTGATTGAATTATCTACGATTTTCGGACCTTTACAGGGGAGCATAGAAAAGCTTTGACCTCAGGATTGACATTGAAAGAATTTGAACAGATTTGCCTAAGTTTTGACCTGGACATCGGTGATTTACAATGTTTGTCGGAAAACTAACGTTTTGACCCTCAAAGACTGCGCGTGAGGGCGCGTGAGAAAGGTTTCTGGGGCATATCCCAAGAACTAATGTAGATCCTTTCGTTAGCTTTCCAACAAAATTTTTTTTTCTCAAATCGGATCACCGAGTCAAAAGTTATAGCCAAAACAGTGAGGTGTCGCAGAAAATCTCTAATTTTGAGTTTTTGAGGAATTTCTTCGAAGTTGAGGTTCTCGATGTTGAATATCGAGAGCAGGTGGATTTTAAACAAAATTCTAAGGCAATACCTCGAAATCCGAATCTCGAGGTTTAAATCTCGAGATTACAATCTCGAGGTTTAAATCTCGAGATTACAATCTCGAGTTTAAATCTCGAGATTACAATCTCGAGTTTAAATCTCGAGATTACAATCTCGAGGTTTAAATCTCGAGATCTTAATCTCGAGTTTGCCTCGAAGAATAATGGCGAAATCCACCTGTAAAACAAACCTCAGAATATCAAAATCTGCAGAATTTCAAAATGTTTGGAACATCGAAAACTTTGGAGTTTCGAAAACATTAGAAAATCGAAAACTTGTTGTTTGAAAAACATCAGAACATCGAAAACTTCTAAAAACTTTGATAGGCAGAGATTCATTCAGATATCTAAAAATGTAAAGCTTCGAAGTGTTCTGAACAGGAAAGATATCATGTTTAGAAGAAATAAGTGATTCAAGAAACTCCAAACTTTGAAAAATTCAAAAACATCAAGAAATTTTGAAAATCTCGAAATCTTCAGAATGTCGAGATCGAAAACATCGAGATCCCAAATGTCGAAATCCCAAAACTCGAAATTCCAAAACTCGAGGTTTCAAAACTCGAGATTTCAAAACTCGAGATGTCAAAACTCGAGATGTCAAAACTCAAGATGTCAAAACTCGAGATGTCAAAACTCGAGATGTCAAAACTCGAGATTTCAAAAGTCGAGATGAGGAAATCGAGCCCCTAAATGTCGAGATCCTGCAATGTAGAGATTGGTGTCGAGATTTCAAAATAAGGATTTCGAGATCTCAATGTAGAGATCTTCGAAATATAAAAATTGCAGAAAACGAAAAATAAGGTATGCTGCTGGATCGGTTTTGAAAGACGAGTCCAACAGTATGATTTTTACAAAGTTTCGTTCACAAACAAGATTACAGGAGCAAATCTCTACACCAAAGAAAAACAGAAGAAAAGCAGAGCAGTTCTTCGTTAGATCCAAAAATCGCAGATAGATTCAACCTGTTTCACGCCTCCGCTCTGATACCAATTGATAAACCCAGATATTTAACAATCAAACAATCTAAGCAGTTAAAGAAGAAGCAGATAGAAAGATATGTCGATATTAAAACCAAATCTGGTATACCGTATAAAACCCCGCTGCTCTCCTTCTCCAGGGAGAGCAGCGGAAACCCTACTCTCTCTCTTTATCTCGCCTCTTGCACTCTCAGCCTCTTTCGATTGTCAGGGTTCCCGTAAGTTAGCCTCCTTTTATAGGAGAAGTTGGCTAACTTACGGGTTACAAGGAAGCCCTCGGGCTGATACACATTTGTGGCCCGTATTACACGTTTAATTAATAACTACACAAATACAAAGATATTTAATTAGATGGGACACAATAAAATATTCCTAACAGTAGGCATATTTTCATGAATTTCAATAGGAAGTTTCCATCAATAGAATTGCGACCTCAATTTTGGAAGGCTGCTAGAAGCACTACGGGCTATCAATTCTGGAAAGTTATGAAAGAGATGCAAACGATTGATGCAGGTAAGCCTTTCAACTACCTTATGGAGATACCTTTGGAATCATGGTCAAGGCATGCTTTCAATCCATTTCCAAAAAGTGAACACATCACGAACAACATGACTGAGTCGTTTAATAGTTGGTTCGACAAATTGAGGGCCCTTCCTAGCGTTCAACTTTTTGAAAGTTTTAGACAAAAATGCATGTTTCGCTTACACAAGAGGTATGATAAAGGATGTTCAATGGAGGGGAAAGTAACACCTGAGGCTAGGAAAGTTCTTAACAAAATCATCACTTCCAGTAGATTATGTACATTAATTCCAGGTAGAAATGATGAATTTGAAGTGAAAGAAGGCAAGGCTACATTTGCAGTTAAGTTAGCAACTAAAAAATGTAGTCGCAAATGGTGGGATATCTCTGGAATGCCTTGTAAACATGCTGCACTTTGCATTGGATATAAGAGAGAAAGAATAGAAGACTATTGCGATTACTATTATTCAGTTGAGAAGTATTTGAAGGTATATAGCGGTGCAATACATCCTATGCCTCAATTTGATTTTGACGCAGTGGATCCATCTTTAGACTTGAGGCCACCGCCATAGAAAAGACTGCCTGGGAGACCTAGGATTAATAGAAGGAGAGAAGTAGGTGAACAACCACCTTCAACTTCTAGAAAAAGGTTTTGCATAGTGAGATGCAAAATATGTGGACAATTAGGCCATAATAAAAGAGGGTGTCAAAGGACTGCTAATGATAAAAGAGTAAGTTTTGATAATTCTTAATTTACATAAGCAAATTCATTACATATCTTACTTCTTGATTTTTTTTATGTCATAGACACCAAAGGGTAGTGTGCCATCAACACATACAACTCAAGACAGAGAACAACAAGATGCATCTACTTCCATGTGTACAGCATCAAGTCAGTCACATTTAATCCAAAGTATGCGAACATCCAATTCTAGTCACACATTTGGCAGAAGGGCTAAGGAAATTCCGAGGCGAAGAGGTGTATGAATCCAGGGAATTGATCTTCATACCAGTAGAAAACTTGTTGGCTTAACTTGGACTATTTTTTTATTAGCCTTGTTTGTTTTAGGTTTAAGGTTTCTTTTGGTTGACTACACTTGTAAGGCTACTTTTGCTAAGCTGCTAAGGCACTAGTTTTGCTGAGTTGTTTTTGTGGACTATTAATACTACTTTTGAGGTGCTGTTATTTTGGGATTGTTATGAGATAGATAATTTTGTGATCAGCTAGTATGTTGTGCTTTTTTCTTGCTCCCTTGTATAAAGCATATCGACTGTTTTGTTTCTGAGGGAGGCATTCATCTTAAGTGCACAAGTGTCATTGATGAACACATACAAATTGAAGCACAACACACTGCATAATTCATCCAAAAAAAACAACACACTGCATAAATCTTAAGTGGCATTAAACTCCAGTTCTGATACTAGGAAGAGACAACATATCAAGTTCCTTTGTAAACTTTTCAAGATGCAAAGTATGCCCCTTTGAAAAATAAGCAAACAGTTCATATACTTCAGGGAATTAATAAAGTATATTTTAATTTATTGTAAAGTTGTATTATGTATTTTCAAAAGTTAAAAAACAAGGAAATATTTTTCTGCTTATGTCCGGCCTCTAGATGAAATCATTTAGTGGGAAAACAAGAAGAATTTAATTTATCAAATGGTCAATATTAGCAAGTCAAGGGCAATTGAGTAAAGCAAACTGTCCAACAACCTAACATGTTTCTGCCAACACGGGTCCCTCTTCCTCCCTAGGTACTTCCATTTAGTGAGAAGTATCCTTCTCAAAACAAAAGTCAATGAGGGAAAATATCTGCTACAAAGATCTAAACCACTTCCTCTTTGCACTAGGCTTCTTCAAATTTTTTTTGATGTACGAATGAGACTGGCAGACTGCTATTGGGAAGTTGGAACAAAAAAGAAGCAAAGCAGAAAGGCATATAAACAAAGAGTTAAGGCTGTCGGTAATAGACCACCCTCCTAATCCGCCGGACGACGATGTCTCTTTTGAGACAGGGCAGCCATTGGGTTATCTGTCGTCTTGGCCTCTCTTCACACTGAGTCACGTCTTGGCCTCTCTTCACACTGAGTCACCAGCTTCAACCAACCACCACCGGTCAATTCTGCTTTGGGGCCATCCCTTACTCTACCATTATTATAGGGGTATGGGGTTCGGCGACAGCCCCCCAAAGGAGCTACTCTGCTGTCACTTGCGAGATAAGGCCAAAAACTTGACTTGGCAGGGATAATCATTCTGGTCCTAGGAAGTTTTGTGTCTGGAGACATATGTCTGGCGACAAAGAATGGGACTGCTATTGGAAAGTTCCTCAATGATGCCTGCGAAACCATAGTTTTTTGTTCTAATACTCTTGGAGTAAGCCAGGGAATAGATAGAGGACATTTTTGGGAATTCCTCTAATCATTAACGGTTCAAACAACTTAAATTTAACGGGAGGGGGAGATTCCAACTATAATAAAAGTTTAAGGGGTAAATAATTCAGTTCTAAAAATTTAAGGTTGATTTAATAATTATGACCTAACCTCAAGGGGATAATCATAATTTTCCCAAATTCTAATTGTACTAAACTGCTAGGTGCACCACCTATCCTATGTCAAGTTTACCCGCACGGGTAGCTCAGTTGGTCGAGTGGTGGGAGATTTGGATCAATGGAACCTTTCCCCGCAGCGACCGGGTGGAGGTCACAAAACCTGAAATAAGGTTGAGCCTCTAGTGCACACGAGTGTATGGGCCTACTGCCATTCTGCTGACTGGGTCACCGTGACTAACCTCCCCACCATCCTGTCGGGTCGGGGTGGGGGCTCCTGGGGTGGGAGATTCCACCTTTTGGATCAATGTCAAGCAATCACAGCCGTTTTTTGACTTTGTTGCTTCCAAAATCACACGCCTATTTTCAAAAAATAGGTTTTTATATTTCCAAAATTTTGTGTTGCATGTTTTCAAATACACTTAAATTCCTAATACAATCAGGATTACACTTTCTAATTACTATCAAACAACTATTATATAAATATTTGGAATCCATTACTAATGCTTTTATAACTTTTTACAATCTTCTTATACAATGGAGGATGAATCTGAAAATTACCTAAAAGATAGTACTCTTGATTTTCACACTTATGAGGTATTCATCTGCCCCCACTATCTGTATTTTAGGTCATCTTTGTGATTTGATTCATTAAAATTTGTCGTATACAATATCCGTTGATATTTTGATGGTCATATATATATATATATATATATATACTTTTTCATTCATTTTTATATTGAATAATATTGTTTTTATTCTATTATCATATAACTACAATATGACAGTATCTAGGATGTTTTTAATTGATGAGATGTTTTTTATCTCAAATCAAACCAAATCAAATTTCAATATTTGTATAACACAAATAGAAAAAAAACACCCGCACATAAACATGCATCTAATAGGACAGACCAGTTCAAACTAGACTATACCAAACTTAAATAGAACAAATAAGATAAGATTATACCAGATTAGACTCGACCAGTAAATTTTAATTCAATTAAAATATTTTAATTGATGACAATTTTTTGCATTGTTCGGCTTCATTCCCAACAACACTATATAGTTGTAAGCAAACAATATTTTATAGTTCCATTGCCACCAGTGATTACGACACGGTCTTACTATCTGATATGCATAAAATGACAACTTGTGTTGATGCACAGATTTGGCTTGACGACAATGCTCCATTGCCACCAGTGATTACGACATGGTCTTACTATCACGACGCTAGTGTTACGGGATGAGATACTCCACTTCTTCATCGAATTAAACAGTTTACAGAATGTCGTAATGTTATAAGAGACCCCGTTACAATTGTATTGGATGATTGATATAAACCTTATATATTATAAAAACATAAATGTTTTGTTTATAACTTTGTGCAATTCTATACTTCGTATTAGTTTTTTTGGAAGTTCTATATTAGATTATATAATTCAATAAGTAACATTTTTAACTCTAGTAAACTAATTATCTTCATTTTTTATTTGTTTGACTAATTTCAAACGTGGAGGGCCCCACCTTTTAAAAATCCATCAACACCATGCTGATTCCACATTACGGTCATATATGTTACATGACTAGATTTATGATGTGAATGGTATTTAGGATGTTTTTAATTGAAATGATTTCGAACCAGATAGATTCAAACAAATCGAATCAGATATGACTAGAATAGATTTAAATAATAGTAAATATACATTTATCGACCGTTCACGAGACTTGGCCGGATATATTAAAAATTACCTATATGATATTGGTGTCATATGAAAAATCATAAAAAGATATTTAATTTGGTACTACCTCCGTCCCATAAAATAAGTCCCACTTCAATTTGGATTGAAGTTTAAGAAAGTGGGAATAAAGTGGAAATATATGGTTTTGGTTGAGTAAGAAAAAGGTAAATGAATGTTTGTCACACAAAACTTTCCAAAATGGAAATTGAAACAATTTTTTGGGACGGATCAAAAAGGAAAGTGAGAGTTATTTTATGGGACGGAAGGAGTATAATGTTTATAAAAATTGGAGCAAAAATGAAAAAAATTATAATATTTAATTAAAAAGGGGATTACTCGATACATACAGCAGTTTATTGGATGTATATTTAATATAAATGTGATACGCAACTGGGCCGAGTTCGAAGCCCGAGTATCCGGGAAAGCTTAACCCCAGATAAACCAGCGGGATACTCAGGCCCGACTTTCCCATCGACGTTCCCGCGATGATACTCACCAAGTTTGTTTCCCGGACGTATCCTCTTCCCTGCTGCTGCTTCGTCGGTCATCCACGGTTCTTCTCCACCACTCCCGTTGTGTTCACCAATCCGACCTTCACCTCCACTGCCGTCGCTGCCGCAGTTCCATCGACTCCCTCAAATGCTCTACCTTTCGGCCCCTCCCTTCACAAAGGGAGTAAGCCACCTCACTTCCATGCTCCTATCGTTACCAGCTCACCGGACACCGATTCTTTGTTTGAAGAAGAGAGCTTCACCCGAGTATTCAAGGTTGCGGCTTTGCGAGTTCCCTCAGACATCTGTTCTTTACTTGAATGCAGGCTTCGAGGTCACCTCCTTAATTGGCCCCGCATTCGGAACGTTGCCAGGGTTCCGGGAGATGACATTCAAGAGGAGTTAAAACATTTTATTGGGAACCGCTCGAATTCCGATGTCGATGGCGAACCCCTAGTAAATTTGCAACGTAGGATTTACGGGAAGGCAGCAGAGGGAGATGGAGACAAGTTGAGTCAGGTGTTGTACAGAGACAAACTTTCCAGAACATTCAATTCCAAAGGGTTCGTGAACTTCAGGAATTTAGCTAAGATTTCGAGGCCAAAAGAGAAGAAGACGAATAAGAAGAAGATGGGGCTGGAGGATGAGAAGGAGAGAGACACGAAAGGGGCCGGAAAATATGACATGGTATTGATTGAGGTGCTTGATGAAGAGGTGAGTGAAGATGGGGACCTGAGTGGGCTATTGGGGGATGAGTTCAAAGGGAAGACATGGCGAGGATCAACTAGGTTGCTCCTTTTAGACGAGCAGTATGCCAATAAAGTGTTGGATGAAATGCCTGATGCAATCAAGGTTTAAGTGCTCCATCTCCACCTTCCTCTGTTAGTTGCCTTAATTTTGAATAATGCTTCTCTAAAGCATCAAATTAAAGTTGAATAATGCCTCTCTCTCTCTCTGGACACAGTGAGTGTGATGTATCTTACTTGCTTAATTGCTATACACTTAATGAATGGAAAATACTGTCAGGCAGTGTTTAGAGAACATGCTGGGAGAGGTGAAAGACCTACTCTTGAGATTGTTAACTGCAAATTGACATTGTTTTACCCTTATTGGTTGATGGATGAGGTAATATAACTATTTATTTTACTATTCGTTAATTCGTTTACAATACTACTTGCCAATCTGTGTCAAACTTATATTTTCCCTCTGCATTGTGGTTCTTCCTTCTTCTCTAAGACTACTTCTCGTCTCTGTAGTTACTTTTCACATTTCTGGTGACTTCTGTTGCCTGGGTTAATTATCTATTTGCAAACACATAGTCACAACCTCATGATGATTAAAATTATTACTTAAGGATCCATAGCATAGACTATCCTCCATTCTTTAATAGTTGCAACAGGTGGACTATCACATTTGCCAACACACAACTTTGACTATAATTATATTTAATTTGTATTAATAAACATTATAAAAAGTTAATATTATAGAAATTCACATTAATAGAAATTTAATAACATTTTCTACATAATAATTTGATAATATATTTTAGTAGAAAATCGTTGTCAAAGTAAGATATGTGAATATTGCGGAAATTCCAATGTTGCAACTATTAAAGAACAGATGAAGTATCTCGTTTTAAGTTTATAACATCACATAACTTGATCATGAATATTTCATGTGTTTTGGAGCTGTGTTTTATCATTATTAGTCAACACCTATATTTCTATCACTTAAATATCTGTGAGTTGTTTCATGACATGGATGGGTATATGCTTTTGAAGGTCTTAGAGGCAATACTTCCGAAAGGGATGATTGTCCCTTCTTCCTTTGAAACTGTTGGGCACATTGCACATCTGAACCTGAGAGACGAACATCTTCCATATAAGAAACATATTGCAAAGGTGATCTTTTTCCTTGTCATCCCATTTGTTACTACATGTTGCTGACTTGCTTTACTCTTCACATCTTTACTCTAAATATGCTCATTTCTTCTTTGATATTGTCATCAGGTAGTTTTAGACAAAAACAAGCCAAGGATACAAACAGTCGTTAATAAAATTGATGTCATAGATAATGACTACAGGACAATGCAGCTTGAAATTTTGGCTGGAAACCACTCGCTTGTCACAAGATTGGTTGAAAATGGAGTTCATTTTCATGTTGACTTAGCAACAGTGTGAGTATAGCCCTGAAGGACCGATAACAGAAGATGGAACAAATCTGCACACAGAACATCTTATGATTCTTGTTACCCTTTTTTGCAGATATTGGAACTCTAGGCTGGCAACTGAAAGGCAGAGGCTGCTTAGTTCCTTTACTCATGATGATGTTGTTTGTGAGTTATTTCCTCACTATTTTTTTGTACTAAGACCCATACCTGTCTGTACGTAATGATGTGATCTATTAATTTATTTACTTAACTTGAGGATGTATCCTTGCTACTCCCACTTCCAATTTTTCTCTGGAATCAAATCTGTCATTATTTTTTGGCTTGGGAATATGATGGAATAAAGCAAATGAGCTCACTAAACTGTCTGCGCTTCTTTGTTATGAAGCAACAGTCAGTCCATGCAATTTTTGACGCGATTTTCACTATGGGTCATCCGGAAACAGTCTCTCTGTACTTTAGTACAGGGGTAAGAATTCGTACATCCGACCCCCCTTACCCCACCATAGGTGGGAGCCTTTGCGTCACTGGGGTAATGATAATGATGATTGTCAGATATACTAAGCTTGGATGATATTAAGTGCTAAATGTATGACTAAATGAGTCTAAATCATTCATATTATCAGATACTTAACTTGAACGCTTTTATGTAATTTTTTCTCATTAAATACAAACCCACTTGCATGCACGGAAAAATTCAAAAAGTATTTAATTGTCATCTGCACTCTTACTAACTATTAACCTTACAGGTGATGTTTTTGCAGGGGTTGGCCCCCTTGCGATATCTGCTGCGAAGAAGGTCAAATATGTCTATGCTAACGATTTAAACCCTCAAGCTGTTGAGTATATGGAAAGAAACTGTGTTCTTAATAAAGTTGAGAGAAAAACTGAGGTAGAAATTTACACTCCTGCAATATGCAATATCTTCTGTTTTCCTTCCAGATGTGGCATTGGCAATGTGGCATCTGTATAAAGATTACATGTCTTTGTTTTGCGTTCCTGATAGTTGCATGTCTCGCTATTGATCTATAGTGCAACAATTAATTAACCATTTATCTATTATTTTAAGGTATATAACATGCATGGAAGGAGGTTCATTGACACCATTTTTTCCAGTCAAAGAACACGCACAATCACACAAGTAGTAATGAATTTGCCAAATGATGCTGTTGATTATCTAGGTATGTGTAATTTTTCATATGAATATTTTGGCTCTCTACGAATCTGCATAGCTGGGCATGATTATAGATTTATAGTAGTACCTCATATATCATAATGCGATGGGGGAATATGGAGGAATTATATTTTGTATGATTACAAAATCTGAAGAGTTTGGACTTCAGGAGTCAGTTGGCAATAGTTCTTCTCCTTTCATCCCCTTCCTTCCAAAGTTCTTAAGGGAGTCTGATACATATTAATTCTGTCTTTAGGTATTTGAGTATTTTCTGCTTTTCTCCTTTCCACAATAGTTTGTCCATCTGTTTCTACCTGTTCTGGCAGATGTATTTAGAGGACTATTCAGGAATAACAACAAGTATAAAGAACCTACCTTTCCAAGGATTCATGTCTATGGGTTTTCAAGAGCTCAAGATCCTGAATTTGACTTTCATGAGGTATTTAGCAATCATAGGCATGACACTATTTAGTCCTTTTCCTTTTGATTAGATGATACAGAAAATTAAATAATTAAAAAAATTTATCGTTAGCTTCTATTATTTCCAACAGCGAATAAGAATTGCGTTATCAGAAGTAGGCTTTGAGGTAGAGATGCGAACTGTACGTGCTGTTGCACCAGGAAAGTATATGTTGTGTGCATCATTTATTCTCCCCGAGAGAGTGGCATTCGGTTGAACTAATTAAGCCATGTAAGTTCCTTTGCTATATCCATGGTATTAGGTGTATGTGTAAAACAGAATTCAGGAGCTTGAATAAATGTGAGCCCTAGTCAATTGAGCTAGCTCACGAACTACCCAGCTAGTTTTGTAGCTTTTATTTTTCTCATTTCTCTTTTTACGATTTTCAGATCTAACTGATCTAGGTGAAGAATGGTAAGTGCAATCGTCCCTGACTAAGGCTAGAAAAAAGTGAAGAATGATTAGAGCAATTCTTCCTGACTAAGGTTAGAAAAGTACAGGGAATGACCAAATCACTCCTCAAGAGAATGAGTATGGCTTCCTCACCCTCACTTAAGGATTTCTTTTGGATGGGATTTTTGAGTGGTTTGGAGGATATCTTGATATGTATGTGTAATATATATTTATATATATATATATATGTGTGTGTGTGTGTGTGTGTGTGTGTGTGTAGCGAGAGAGATATGTATTATAAAAAGAAATTGAATGATTAGTATGTGATCATATAAAATTCATTTTAATCACCTTTTATTTGGTTTTAAAATGTACAATTCATCAAGATATAGACTAGCTTTCCAAGGCCATTTCATGCAAAACCCTCCATCCCTCTCTCACCTTTAAAGGGCGTTTTCATTAAGGGGGGATTTGACTTTGTTCCCAACTTTTTGAGCAGAATTGGACATTGCACCTCATTGGTTTTAAAAAATCTAGATTTGCACCCCGTTCTGTAACGGCTTGTTGAATGCATATCTTGTTTTGAAAATCTGGGTGCAAAGTTAGTCAATTCTCACTTTCTCAAATTCCATGGCATTCCCTAAACCCTTCCCTGCCTCCTAGCTTAGTTCATCATCCCCGCTACCTAAAAGAAAAGTACATGTCACACAGTGAGAGAGTATAGACAGCAGAAAAGTATAAGTTGTGGGGCACCTGTCTCTTTTGTGTTGTGGTCTGACGTTTTATTATTTAATCTTTCCATGGTTCAAACACAACGAACGAGTGGGAAAGGTACATTATAAATTACAGTGATAAACTTTGGTGTGTTGCCGAACTGGAATCCTACACTGCCTCTTATTTCATGTATTTATTGTATGCTTTGAACACTTCTTCCCCGTCTCCAAGACTTGAACTGATCCATCCCAGTATAATTATTTTTACTGCTTTTTGTTAGTATCCAACACAAAGTTGTCCTTTTATTGAGGTGTGGGGCCAGTCGGCATCTTTCTTGTGTGAATGATAGATGGAAGCCAAAGAAAAAGAAAAATGAAAAGGAGAAGCTGGAGAGAGTAAATTTGCATGTGTAAGAAAAAAGATGGGGATGCAGGTGTGTGAATCTGAAGTCAGATATGCTGGTGTGTGTATACGTAGGGAGCAAAAGAGGGGCGGGGTGGGGGTGGGGGTGGGGAGGATGATGAGTGAGTGAGTAGAGTAGCTATTTGAATTGAATTGAATTGAATATCCAGAAGTAGATGAGGGTTCACGCAAGGCGAAGAAAGGGAGGAGTAACAGTTGCCGGAAGGGAAGGGGTGAGTGGGGTTTGCTGATGTCAGATTAGGAAACAGGAAAGGCTCACCAGCCCCTTCTCCCCTTCCCCAACCATTAAAGATGATTTTGTGAGAATTGGTGTAAACACTCACATCTCACTCGTATCTCTATCTCAGATTCAGAGGGACCATGCAACTCCCTCTAACACCAACCACTAAAGAATCTTGCCCAAAGATGTTATTCCCAAAAAGAGTCGTGCTTTACTAATTATCATTGAATTTGGTCTAATTATCTCTATTGAATTTTCATTGAAGTTGTGAAATTTATCTCTATTCAATTTTCATTGAAATTGTGAAATTTATCTTTAACTCATACAAGAATCTCATACAGAGTATAAATTAATTATGCAATATGATATATTTTCAGGTTTGTCGATGCACAACTTGATCATGAATATGTATTATCCTTCATTAATAAAAAATTTTAAAAAAATAATTTTGAAAATTTACAACGAGACATGTCTAACAATATTTCTTTAAATTTTTTTTAATACATTAATAAATTAAGCGTAGTCAAAACATAACATGTGAAATTAGTTCTAAAATTTGTTATGGAGTAACTAGATTTGATGAATAACATACACACAAAAATTCAGCAAAACATTCCACTGGGAATCACATCAAAATGATCAAATTGAGGTGGCTGGACCACCCTTTTGTCATGACGTCCTGATCGGAACTCCTCATGACAACACCATCAGAGTGTGTGTTCGGTGGAATTTTTTGATGAAATTATTTGAACATGTTCCTCATCAAGTCTAGTTTATGCATACCAAATTTCAGCTCAAAATTCAATCGGGAAGACAGTTAAACAAATTCTTGAAACATACTGTGTTTTATATATGTACAAAATGGGCCGCAAGAGAAAAGCCGCTACGTGGAGTGGCAGCTTTTGTACTATAAGAGAAGAGCCGCCACTTCAAGTGGCGGCTTTTCTTAACTACGGTTAACCCGACAGTATTTTGAGAATTATTTTAATCCCAGCAGTATTTTGGGAATTATTTATTTAATTAGCATTATCCTGTGAAAAAACTCTTGAAATTTGTCTTGAAAATACTAAAGAATCTCATACTAGTTAAAAATAATATATTTACGTAAATAGTTGTGGAATATATAAGTATGAGTAAAAGTAACGGACTAGGATGCTTTGAATTGAACTATAATTTTTTTGATCTGATCTGGTAGATGTAAATCTCTGTATTATTTACAACTATCGATATCTGGTTTGATGTGGGATTGAAATAAGTCTAACTAAAAATAATCCAAAACTTACTCCGTATGAGTTTTGCCGAATATGCGATCACCATCCAAAGCTAATTGTGCTAGATAGGATGTGATTTTTTATATATTTGAAATAGATGTGAAAAAATAAGTATATGATTATAACAACATATATATATCTCCACTTCATTCAGTTTTCTTACATCATCGCCCATTGCATTTGGTACTTACTGAGGCTGCCACCTTAAATTGGAAAATATCGAATCGGGTTGGGAAAAATCTGAGGTTATACATAATCAAATTGACTTAATTAGATCATGAAAGTTGGTACCCGCTTTCAATTTTCTTACATCGTCGCCCATCACAATTGGAACTACTACTTACTGAAGTTGTCATTTTAAATTTAAAACTGAAAATTGAATCGAGAAAAATCGAATCCATTGGTAAAATTCTGAATTAAAACAGAATCGAAATTAAATTGACTCGATTGGAACATGTAAGTCGGTACCCAAATATTATTTGGTTTAATCACGCTTTGAGCCTAAAAATCACTTCAAATCGAACCAAATCAGTTTTCATTATTTGTTTAACATTCTAGTTTTCTTTCGAGTTATTAGACCATGTGTAAATGTAATAATTTTAATGATAATTGTCATGTAAACACATCAGATTTAATTTTTTATGATAATAAGACACTTTTAAGATCTAAAAGTAAAGCTTTTGTAATCAACTTAATGTAAGTCTGCTAGTGTTTAATATAGTCCCGACTCCGGACATAGCCTGAGTAGTGGTTCTGTGGTAGTCATTGTACTTTTAGAATTGTGGTCTTGTTTTATAATTTTAAATTTGTTCTCCGACTAGACGAAGTCACAGTCACACAAATCGGATCTCAACACTTCTAACAAGCAAACAAAACAATACAGAAAGTAAAAGACACGCGATATGTTGACGCAGTTCGGAAGAAAACTTCCTAATCTGCGGGGTTTCAACAGGGGAAACCCGATTCCAAACAGATCCACTAGCTCAGAAACGTTTTTACAATCAAGATGGTTGCAAAGTAATTAGACTACGACCGGTATCAACATGCAATTTACAGACAAACGACTCATAACGAATAAAACAAAAGAAAGTTCAGAGTTAACCAAAATCGATTCCAATAAAGGATTCGAATGCAGAAGAAGACTCGCGGATGAACCAGTGAGCGACTTCAAACGAACAGGTTTCCTCCTTTCTCGCAATCGTCACAAGGGGATGTCATCAACTGCAGCAGTTCACCGACCTCAATCGACTCTCTCTCTCTCTCTCTCAGATTTCTCTCTAGGGTTTGAAGTATGCAGCGGAACAGTGCAGAGGGGAGGACGAAGGATATATTTATAACCTTCCACCCGGGCAGATAAGCTAACCAAAAGCCGGACCCAAGAATAGGTCCAAAACAAGAGGCTAAACAAGTCAAGCCCAAGGCACAAAGAACCAACCCAAACTAGAGATAACCCAAGAAGAAATAAATCCAAATCTAATTACTTTGCCATCCTATCTTAATTATAACTAAAAGAACATATGAGAGAATTAGGATTAAATAATAATCCAACAAAATTATTTTTAAACTTTGTGAACATAGGTAGTCGGAAATCAATAATTATTTTATTTCATAAGTTTTGTTTAGGTGAAGGTTCTTGCTTTTTACTCCCTCCGTCCTGTTGGAAGGTTCCCATAACAAAACGATACGGTTATTTAGGCAATAATTACATAAAGTACTTCGAGTATATTTTGAGAAATAATTTTGATAGATATATATTATAATGTAGTTAGTATTGATAATTGTGATGATATAAATATATTATTTTTAATATTTAATGATTAATTTGTCACTTAAGATTGTTAATTGTTTCCTAAAATGGAAATGCGAACCTTCTAACGGAACGCCCAAAAAAGGAAAGTGAAAACCTTCTAATAGAACGGAGGGAGTATAATATTCGAATCCGGGCCATATCATACTATGCTAGTATGCTTCATGATGGTAGTGTGTAGTTATTGAAAAATGTTTTTACTTGGATTTATTTGAGTCTGAGAACAGATCAAATCGTCTATTGTTTTAAAAATCGACATAGTCAGAACGGTTAATCGATGCCTAGGTGCTAGGTGACCCAAATGTCAAAGACTAATCGGTCTAGTCGGCTAAAAAATCGACCTAGTCACCCGCCTAGGCACCGAGTGTCCCAATAAAGATAAACTTGAAATAGCATTCCACAATCAAAGGCATTTTAAAGATTTGTCAGGGTCTTCGTCACGAAGTAATATTTGACAAAATTTAGGGATTGTTCACGACAATTCCACAAACCATGTTTGACTGATTTTTTATTATTATTATCCCTAATCAATCCGTGACAAGCTAGTGAAGGACGAAATACTTGATAAATATCGGTCACAAATACAATGTTTTTGTAGTGTTTATCCATAACATGAACTTACACTTGTATGTAGTATAATTAGATACTCCAAAATTGTCAAGTTGTGAGCTAAAAAATACGTCATCAACTTTAGTTTTTTGTGCAAAATATCAGTAGATTCATTAATATATACATGCATGTGGTTGTAGCACCATTGATGTTTGTTATTACTTCTATACCGAAAACGTTTGTCAAGCAAACTTTGAGCAATGATATAAATTTCATATATATAATTCAAAATTCTGAGTTTACACCCCCAAAAAATTGGACATTGATGCCCGTTTGGTGAGATTTTTATACTATGAAACCAAGAGTTG